TGAACTACCATTTGACACAAAAAAATATAGGTCCAAGCAACTGGGTTTAGACCATTATCTATCAGTTTTGATTTATTTGTATTTTATTTTTTTTTAACTGCTCTAGTTTTCTTAAGCAAGAATGGGATTCCAAGCACCTAAAAATTCTTTATTAGAAAACAATCCAGCATTTAGCTTTGGGTGAGAAACCTCTGAACTTGTTTGCTTCTGATTTCTGGTAAGGAGGTAAAAGAGAGAACCAAAGACAAAAAAAGACATAGAGGAGAAAATAAGGAACTAGAGATACTGCAAATGCATCCAGAACAAGGAAAGCTACATGATGGCTGAGAGGGAAAGTTTCTTAAATTAGGTGTCATGAGGAAAGAAAGCTCAGAAAGGAAACATGAGGATTTCCAGGGGAAAGAGAACTCCACCACCTCATGGTCACTGCAGCCAAGGCTGCCTTTGATATTCACATCTCCAACGAGCCCCTCCCTTTTTGGCGAGTATGAGGTACAGCAGAACGCCTCTCCTTAAGGGCTGCTCTATTGTTTGAAGGAGGAAGATCTCATCAATGCACTCCAGAAATATCCCAGATGGCTTGTCCTGCTGTGTTGTCCCACCTATTATTTATCTAGCAACTTTACTGATCTAATACAAAAATATAAAGCAATTGAAAGTTTAATTTGAAGAATGAGACTGATGAAAAGAGTATTCATGTGTCTAAGATGGAAGCTTCGTTTCCCCTGAATCTGAGAAATATTTTACTATGGAATTTCTTTTATTTAATTTATCATTCACATAGTTGAGAGGAGGCATCAAAAATGATGTATCACTCAAGTATAACATTCCGTATGTATTTTCTGAAAAAAATACCTGAAAGCAGCAAAGAAGTCACTGAAATCCCTGAGTAATTATGACAAAATAATTCAGTGTCCTTTAAAAGCAGTCAATTTTTTTTTTCTTTCAAGCTAATAAGCTTACTAGATATTACAGAAGTGTGGAAAGTTTTATTAAAAAGTTTAAGCATTTCAGTTTTATATCTGCAGTATGCTCTTCACTAAAACTTTAAACTTCAAAGCTAGAAATTGATTCAAAGAAGTTGTTTGATGTTATACCTACAGTATATGAGAGCTCAAAGCAATTTTCCCACCAAAATGTTTAGCAAAATCAATTTAAGTCACTTGCAAAAACATTCTCTAAAATTTGAAAAGTGCAAACATGCATAAATACTGTTCATTCTCCTGTGAGTAAAGCTGTCAGCAATTCCAATATATATGCTCCTTCCAGGTTAAAAACCCCACGCGATTAAAAAAAATGCCATAAGTTTAAACGCACATGTTAAAAGTCTTAGAACAAGTGCTGTGATTCAGTGTTTATCTGGGGGAAAGTACAACAATAATTCAAATATTTTGAGGTACAAGCAGGACAGACCTACTAATGCATCAGAATATTCCTGTTTTGAGAAGGCACTTGTATAGCTGTATTTGTGCAGCATACAAATACAGAACTCAAAACATTCTTTTCTGGCACAGTTGTAGACCCAGGTAGCCAACTGAACACTAATTCTTAAAAAGACCCAATGAGAACAGAAAAAAAACCCCCACCCAAAACGAAGCCATTGTCTATTTGTCTATTTTTCTATCATCCAACAAAACAAGAGGGACGATTTTCTGTAAGACAGGATAACAAGCCCTGCAAAATGTAGAAGGCACTACATTATACGTCCTGATCTCCACAGGAATCAGGACATTGAATCATATACAAGCTAGGTAAGTTTGAGCCAGACAAAACTATAGGTAGACACCGTAATTATAAAGAAGCTATTAGTGATTTACTGAAAAAGTTGAAGTAGTATTTCAATGAATTTATCACAGTTCTCTCCTGAAAGTGATACAAATGACTGTTCCAGACCAGACCAAAAATCCAACTACTTCAGTTCACTGTCTCCCACAGTGGTCAAAAGGGACAGTACTGAAATTGGGAAAATGCCATCATGGAATCATAGCATGGTTTGGATTGTAAGGGACCTGAAGGAACATCTAGTTCCAAACCCCCTGCCATGGGCAGGGACACTTCCCACTAGACCAGGTTGCTCAAAGGGCCATCCAACCTGGCCTTAAACACTGCCAGGGATGGGGCATCAATGTCTTCTCTGGGCAACCTGGCATTTGCCATCATAGCCCCTGATTGCTACACCCCTCAGTCTGATCTAAGGACTATTAATATGCAATGGATTTTTCCTTTAATTACCTGTCTAATCACTTTCTGAATCTCTCCACTACAAATTAGGAAAAACTAGTCAATATTTCTGATGTTTTAAACCAGTATACAAATCAGGCAATTGATCTGAGCAATTATTGAATTACTGCAGTGGTGTAATTGGCATAAGGACATTTTAGATTGACGCTGTCAACGTCTGCTTTTTGTTTTGGTGGGTTTTTGTTTGTTGTTTTTTTTTTTTTTGTTTTGTTTTGTTTGTTTTGTTTTTTTCCTTCTGTCTTGCCTCCAGTGCATGAATATGGAATGAGTATGATGTTTCTATAGATATCAGTGAAAAACATGTTCTAGAACTACTTTCAGAAGGGCTCAAGAGGAGCTTAATATTTTATACAGAATCATCGCAGTCAGAAGGATATTCTCCAGGGGCAGGCTGAATATTCTGATTTTGTTCCTCCAAACATTTATGAATTTGCATCAAAATGCATATAACTGAACTATGAGCAGGGAACAGAAGCAAAGAAATGTAACCAAATATTTTTTCTTTCCAAAACACCATTAAAACATTATTAGATGTGGTATTTTTGCAGTTAAAACATCTGTAGCAGTACTTTCACTAAAACCCAGTGAGATACTTCTGAAATCAGAAAACTTATGTCACCTTTTCTAGTCATGAAATAAAAGTTCCAGTAATTTCAAAATTAATTATGGATCTATACTGCATATTTCACAGAGCTATGCTTGCAGGCTCAGATGCTGCAGTATAACATTTCAGTGTAATTTTTAAAACTAGCCCTTTTATTATTTGTTTCCATAGTAAAAAGTTAAAACAGTTGTGCAAAACATCTATTTCTCTCTCTCCATGCCCTCCGGAAGGCTTGTAATTAAAAATATTTTTGTTTGGAAATGTTTTCTACTGCATAATTCTAAATATTTCTACAAGCAGTTTTGTTTTCTGTTTAACTGTGGGGTTTATTTCTAGAGTACTTTTATACTGTAAATTTCCCCCCTCTTCTACTACCTTCTCCTGAAGTGGTCTCCAGTACTGCCTTTCTTATCAACTTAGAATAAATAAGTTCTTCAGAAAGGTGGTGAGATAGTTAATTTCAATATCTGTGTCTTTTCTTCCCAACTGTTTCACTGAAGGAAGGGTTACAAATGAATAGCTTCAATTCCAGATGAATTGAACTCCAACTTGATAGGTAAAACAAACCTTGAAATCCTAGAAGATTAAAGCACCCTAGAGAGCTATTTTTTAAACGATTGTTGAAGCAAGACACTGCTGTATTACAATAAATGCATTAAAGGTAGGATTCAGTACGCAAGACATAACTGCCTCAGATTTTATATTCCTTAAGTTCCCTGCACAGGCTTGACAGACACAAAAGGAAAGGATCTATGGGAGATTTGTGTCCAAATGAAGCAGAAACAGGATGCCAAGCTGAATAATGTAGGGCAGATAAAATGGCTCTAGACATTTATTTCAAGCAGTTGAAGCCAACCTTACGCATCTTGCAAAATTTCACATTAAAAAATGAATGTCTTGCAATCTGATGGGAAGACAATGAACATCATAGTAACCACTAAAATCTGAGATTCTTTACTTTAAAGGCACCTAAGGAAAACAAGGTTATCAAAACCGTTAAAGAAAGAAAATAGAATATCAAACAGGTTAAACTATAGTGGCACTGACACAGCCTAAACCATACAAAGCCCTACTCTTCATTATAAACAAATTTAAATCTTCCAAGTTTAGCTTCTTCTAAGGAATTCTTACTTATGTTGTTCTTTATACATGAACTTTCTGCACTGGAATCCAGCAGACACCCATTGTATTTGGTTCTTAGAGGAGCTAGAATCAGATGGTTCAGACAGCCTTAACAAGGTTAGTGTAGCCTTGTCAAGAAAAACAATCTCAAAATCTAAAACACTTTAAACATTTAACACACTACAAATAGAGCTATAACAATACCGACTGTGTTTATTTTTAATTTGTTACAGATTATTTTGTATTGACATACTTTTGCTCTGCATGACAAAAAAACAAAACAAAACAAAAACCTCAAAAGAACAGCACTCTATTCTCTCCTTACCATTATATATTCATATTAATTCCACCCTTTATATTCATCCCTAAATTCCACATTTTATTTTTCTTGCAAATACACATCCTGCCATTGAGACCAATTTTAATTATTGCCTAACTCAATCCTTCTTTCGTGTAAGATTTAAGAACAAATCCCACGCATCCATCCTTTTTTCCTTTTGCCATTTTAAATTTTGGTATTTAGAAAGTATCACCAAAGTGTGCGAGGGGGAAGACCAATTATGCTAAACTAAAAATTATGTATCAGTGCAGAAAGTTTTACCTAGATTTAAGACACTATTCTTTATTAAAAAAAAAACCTGAAAAAATTCTTCTAGCAAAACTGCTAAGTAAAAATCAGCATTCCTCATAAGAAAATACTTTCAATCTGGGTTATGTTAAAAAATTAACCTGATTATTATTTGTTTAATAATGTTTAATTTTGCTCTTACTTGTACACTAAGTAAATTAATAAAGTAAATAAATAATAAGAAATAGCTCTGTAATAAATTATGTAAACTAGAAATCTGATAGAAATCTAATACAGAAGAGATGACAGAAGACAAAAATCTTTTATTACAGAAAAGCTATGAAATGAATTGTAAGCTGCCTAAGCATTTTGATTTAATTGTCTAAGAATTTCTCAGTGTAAAAGCACCAAAATGTATTTATTCTTGGAAGAAAATGCAGTTCTTTTGGAGATCTTTTCTCTTACCTGCCGTAAAGTACGTGCTACTATACTTTCAAGTACTGGTCCTCTATCTTCATGTAACAGATGAACTTCATCAAGAATCAAGAGTTTAACCATCTGAGAGAGGGCTACATCACCAACACTTTTTCTTGTCACAACATCCCATTTCTCTGGAGTAGTCACAAGCATCTAGTAGAACAGAAAACAGAAATATTAAGCATTTACAAAGAAAAATCCAGACTAAAATTTATAAAAAAACAGTATTTTTGTATACAGCAGAGTAAATGCACTGTAGAACCTAACAAAACTATCTTAAGTTTCACCTACTTTTTATATGGTGCAGCCACACTTTGCTGCATCTACATGTGTTGGACACTCATTAGTATTATTCAGCATGCAAAATATGGGTATATAAAGCAAGAACTTCAAGTTACTGCACATCATATGTATACATTTTCCACATTAAAACAATGAGACAGTTATTCAGAATCAACTCATCATATAATTGTGTGAGTTACTTGATATATATGTCCCACCAAAAATTAACTATGATAAAATATTTCTAACCTTCACCACACCACAGCAAACACCTGAGACCCCACCCTGCGAAATGCTTCCTCCCTAAGGCATACTTTCAAAATGTACATTTTAATATTTTGATCCTTGCACTGGCAAAACAGATTAAACAAATTCCACAAGTCCTGGAAACTTAATTGTTTCACATAGGTCAGTGGTAAGTCCCTATTACGGTGCCATTTCTTGCATGCTTTTGCAATGGCTTCTCATTTTGCATAAATCCCTAAGTAACAGACTATCGAAGAGATAAAACTGAGCTAACATTCAATTTACAGTTGCCACGGAATTATAGTACCCTCCATTCCCCACATTGACAACATACTCAGCATACTTCATTTGACCTTAGCACAATTCGAGAAAGCCGCTTTTTAAAATTCAAAACCAAAGTGGTCACTCAAAGAAAGGATCTCATTCCTTGCTCCAAAAAATTCTCAGCAGCTGTTTTAAATAGAAATAGAAATGCAGATTTCTCATGGACTATTCAACAAAATAATTTCCTATTTAGGTGCTAACTGCTAAGTATAAAATGCCCCTAGAAATAAATCTCACCCACTCAGTAATAAATTCAGTGGTAACTTGCCTGCAAGGTATGACTATGATTTAAGGGCAATTATTTATTGCCTATTCATAACAAATATAATGAATCACTATCCATCAGAGCTAGAGATTCCTGGGACAGGCACAAAGCTTACCTTACAACCTCACTTATTGCACAAAAAAAGAAATTAGAACTGTTAAAATAAAGGTTCCTCTTAAATTTACACATTCAGAAATAAGACACTACTAAGATTACAGATGATAATGCTCCCATAGCAAATATACTAGTAAGTCCCTACAAAAGCTTACACACACACCATTGTTTTCATCCAGACAGCATTTGCTGTATTCTAAGCAGCCATGGTAGATTATTAAAAAATTATATAAAATAAAAGTTTACCAGACCCTATCAACATCCAATCTCAAATTCAACCAGATAATGTAAATCCAAGAGAATATGAGATTCATGACATTTTCTTCTCAAACAAAATCTTATCTGTAAGAACACAATGTAAGAATAAGAAAAATTAACACTGCTGCACTAAATCCCAGACTGACAAAAAAACTGAAACATCAAGACAGGTTAGGTGGCTTCCAAATGTGATGCTGTGAGGTATATAAACAGCACACATTAATGTAGCAGCAAAACCAGTTTCTTAGCACAGAAATTATACAAAGGAAGGTGTAAAAACACTGGGTAATTATGAATAATGTTTCAAGGCGGAAGTCATTGCTAGACCACTCGCCATCATCTTTACCAAGTCTTGGGAAACGGGAGAGGTGCCTGAGGACTGGAGGAAAGCAAATGTCACTCCAGTCTTCAAAAAGGGCAAGAAGGAGGACCCGGGTAACTATAGACCGGTTAACCTCACCTCCATCCCTGGGAAAGTGATGGAACACCTTATCCTCGATGCCATCTTAAGGCATATCAAGGATAAGAGGGTTATGAGGGGCAGTCAACATGGCTCCACCAAGGGGAAATCATGTTTGACCAATCTCTTAGCCTTTTATGAGGAAATAACACGGTGGATGGATGATGGCAGAGCGGTGGATGTGGTCTACCTTGACTTCAGCAAAGCATTTGACACAGTCTCCCACAGCATCCTCACAGCTAAATTGAGGAAGTGTGGGCTGGATGATCAGGTAGTGAGGTGGACTGTGAACTGGCTGAAGGAGAGAAGCCAGAGAGTTGTAGTCTATGGGGCGGAGTCTAGTTGGAGGTCTGTAACTAGTGGAGTACCTCAAGGGTCAGTACTGGGACCGGTATTATTTAATATATTCATCAATGATTTAGATGAGGAATTGAGTGTACTATCAGCAAGTTTGCTGATGACACTAAGCTGGGAGGAGTGGCTGACACGCCAGAAGGCTGTGCTGGCATCCAGCGGGACCTGGACAGGCTGGAGAGTTGGGCAGGGAATAACTGGATGAAATATAACAGGGGAAAGTGTAGAGTCCTGCGTCTGGGCAGGAACAACCCCAGGTTCCAGTATAGGTTGGGGAACGACCTGTTAGAGAGCAGTGTAGGGGAGAGGGACCTGGGGGTCCTAGTGGACGACAGGATGACCATGAGCCAACACTATGCCCTTGTGGCCAAGAAGGCCAATGGCATCCTGGGGTGTATTAGAAGGGGGGTGGTTAGTAGGTCGAGAGAGGTCCTCCTTCCCCTCTACTCTGCCTTGGTGAGACCCCATCTGGAATATTGTGTCCAGTTCTGGGCCTCTCAGTTCAAGAAGGACAGGGAGCTGCTGGAGAGAGTCCAGCACAGGGCAACTAAGATGATTAAGGGAGTGGAGCATCTCCCTTATGAGGAAAGACTGAGGGAGCTGGGTCTCTATAGTTAAGAGAAGAGGAGACTGAGGGGTGACCTTATAAGTGTCTATAAATATATAATGGGGGAGTGTCATGAGGATGGAGCCAGGCTCTACTCAGTGGCAAACAATGACAGGACAAGGGGTAATGGGTACAAACTGGAACACAAGAGGTTCCACTTAAACTTGAGAAGAAACTTCTCAGTGAGGGTGACGGAACACTGGAACAGGCTGCCCAGGGAGGTTGTGGAGTCTCCTTCCCTGGAGACATTCAAAACCCGCCTGGACACATTCCTGTGTAACATTATCTAGGTGTTCCTGCTCCGGCAGGGGGATTGGACTAGATGATCTTTTGAGGTCCCTTCCAATCTCTAGCATACTGTGATACTGTGAAGGCACTGGCTAAGAAAAGCAGACACAGAGAACTAGCAGAGACTTACAAAACCTTTATGAAAATTGCTTGTCCAAAGATGAGCAAGAGCATTTCTTCCCATCAGAAGATTCAATTACCTTAAATACCACCAGCATAATATTCACAGCTTTTAGAAAGAAATTGCTTTGCTGTCTCAACATTTTTGAAACCCAGCTTGACATGACTTCACAGCTACAGAATCAAAGAATGGTTGAGGTTGGAAGCAACATCTGGAGGTCATCTTGCCCAACTCTCCGGTTCAAGTGGGGCTAGATAAAAGCTAGTTGCCTAGGAACATACTGAGACAGCTTTTGGGTATCTCCAACATTGAAGACTCTACAACCCCACTGGGCAACCTGTGCCAGTGCTCAGTCATCCTCAAAGTAAGTGTCTCTTGATGTTCAGACACAACCTGCTGTGTTTCAGTTTGTGCCCATTTGCCTCTGGTCCTGTCACCAGGCATCACTGAAAAAACCCTGGCTCTGTCTTCCTCTCTCTTCCCTCCAGTCTTATCCCATGGGACTCTTCTAAGCAGATCTCTGGGGAAGCCAAAGTCTGCTCTCCTGAAGTACAGGATTGTGAGCGTGCTGTTCCTTCTCCTCCAGATCCTTAACTCCACCATCTGATGGTCACTGCAGTCAAGTCTGCTTTTGGTCTTCATATCCCCAGGAAGCCCCCTCCTCACTGGCTCCTCTATAACCTGGAGGAGGAAGTTCTCACCAATGCACTCCAGGAACCTCCTGTATTGCATACATTCTCCTGTGTTTCTTTCATAGTATTAGAAAAAAAGTGTATCTTACAAAACACACGCACTTACAAACACTTTCTTCTGCACTTGATCTCTACAAGGTATATCCTGCTAATTATTCTCCTCAGAGAAATATTTTTCCCTGCACTGCCTCACAATATTGTTCCAGTCCAATTATTTTACCATCAGAATATATCAGTCTTTACTATTACCAAGAATTACTCCTGAAAAGACTTTGTGATATTACAGACTGTCCTGCAATATTTAAAACTTAACATATGACTCACTAAGTCACTAATATCACTGAGAGAATAGTGGGGTGTGAGGAGTGCTTCTATGTTTTGTTAAAATATTACTGGGTGCATTTTGTTAGCAAATACAGATTTTTCAAATGCTTGTAGAAAATAGTAGGTGTAAAAATGTATGACCATAATTTATTAACACTACTACAGATGCAACTGCTATCACTTTAAAATGAGCCATGTCAACCACAAAAAATTAGCAGCTGTACTTCCACAGAACATTAATTAGCAAACAGTGAGGAAATATATTTAGCAATGCATATTAAGACATTAAGGTGTGAAATACTACAAACACTTAGCTAATTTGCTAAATCTAAATTGGCAATGTGCAGATAGCAGGTTTTTTTTTTTGTATGTCGGTCATGTTATCAGGATATATATTTAAACTAGTATCATTAATTTTTCTGTTTCTAAGTGATGACTAAATATTCATTATAATCGTCTTTTACTTTGATCCTATCTTAAAACTCAAAGTAATGACCTGAATTAAAAGCTGTATTTGATATACTGTCTTATTTAGTAAGACCAGATATCTCCAGAGAATGTCTGGCCAGAAAATATGATTGGTTCTTATATTTATTTCGCAGATAAAAATTACAGTTGGAAAAAAACTCCTTCAAAAAACCTCCAAATCATCTCTGTAGTCTAAAACCATAAATTGAATTCAAATATGCAATGTGCTAATTAAAAATAGCCAAAAGAAAATGTTGATAATCCAGGAATGTTAACAAAGATTATTTTTTCAATTAAAACAAAAAACAAAGCAGCATTATGATCCATATCATAATTAGTTTTAAATGCAG